TTCATGGATCCGCCACTTATTTTTTTATTTAGACAAGGGTACATAGATTGATTTTTTGTTATTAGAAGCTACTGAAGGGATTCGAACATAAAACCTCCAGGTTTGAGAGTAGTGGTATTCCCACTAGACCAAGCCTTATTCATGGTCCGCCACTGACTATTATTATATCCATATTATCATTAGCCAATTTTTTTTTATATATTCGAAGTGTTTCTGCCAAAGGTATCTTAAACACATAAGTAAAATTTCGAGTACTTCAAAATTTATGAGAAGTGAGATCTGATAGAATTTTTTAATAAGGATGATGTAATAGTTTTTATCAAGGTTATTAAAGCCAAGCCGAGTCGTTTAGTCCGACTGGTAAAACCATCACCCGGTCACAAAATCGGTTCGAAACAGTCTAAAAATCGCTCTGGTTTTATGTAGCGGTTGGCGAGCGGTCGAGGTAGTTAACCGTTCGAGCCGATCGAGCCGCTCGTCCGGTTTTTGCCATTCGGCCGTTAAGTTTAATTAAAACAATTGCAGAAAATTGAAAATTGGAATAAACCAAAAACACCGGGCTCTCAAACTAAACCTTTATTTCCATTTCACAATTTCGAAGGAAAGATACGAGCTCTGATTAAGAAATGTCGACTATTTATACTGATAACGTTTATTAGGTACCGATTCTCTAACGATTTTTAAATGGTCTAATATCGTTTGGATCACTAAAGTGCGAACCATTCACATTACCGGGTCATGCTCGGGTTCGATCCTGATAACATTAGTTTTTATCATTAGGTGCTAGTTAAGATATCGAAATTTAAAAATTAGAATGTACAAATATTCTCATTGCTTAAAATGAATCCCAAATTATTGGTGAGCATCAAATACAACCATAATCCTCCTAAAATAAATCCCTTTGTCCTCCTCTTTATCCCTCTATGTTAGGAATTTAAAAACCTAAATAGTACGATTGGACCAAAGGTATATGTTACCAGCCAAGAAAATTCTTTCCAATAATCCAAAGCATCAAATGCTTATATCGATTGTAAGCATCCTACTGTTATTTTTAACTAAGGAACTTAACAAAATATAAACCACTGTAATGTGTGATGGCAACCCGCCCCAATCGACTCATACCAATATGGAAAGTGAAATAGCTCAATTGGGATGCTATATAGCATTGATGTTTTAATGTATAATTTGAAGTTGTACCATAATGTTAAATGTATAAGTTCAGATGGTACCATAAAAGAATTTGTACCCTTATGTTATGGGACAACTTCAAGTTGTACTATCACATAAAGGTACAAGTTCAAGTTGTACCATAAAGAATTTGTACAAAAGAGTATAGGTACAATATGAAGTTGTACCATAAAGGCAAAACCTATAGCACCAATGCTATATAGTATTGTAAAATTCATCATCGTTATATGATAGTTAGTTGTAATAATTCGAGTTGCTGAGAGACGATTAATTATGGATTAAATATCACTTTCTTACATGTCTCTCAAATGAAAGCCAACTCATGGGGCTAAAGTTTGCAAAGGCATGTCATATATTGTGGGGAAAATACACTTGTAAGCCATAACTTTGACGTTTTTGACAAATATAGCCATTTTTTTAAATACACAAATATAGCCACATTTTAAAACTAGTTTGAAAATTTTAGCTATTTTCGTTAAAAACGTTAACGTCATCGGTGACTCATCATCTCCAACAAGACACACTCATGCCACCTAAACGCCACATCATATTTTAATATAAAAAAAACCCATTAATTTATTTTAATAAAATATTCATAAATAACTCACCCTTGCCCCTGCTGCCACCGCCTGCAAAAAAAAAAAAAAAAAACCCTTTCCTGAATAATCCCTAATTTCCCATTGAGCTTTACAAGCCTTTCCCCCAATCTCGTCGTTGTTTTGCTCTACAACTACTACCAGGACAACTACTCTTTCCTCATCTACATGCATATCAAGGGAACCCATTTCCTTTCTTAATCACCCTCACAAATCAACAAGCCAAACGAACAGAAAAAAAATTGATTATGGAGATTTAAAAATCAAAACTCCGAAAGTTGCCGATCCACTTCCTTCGCCTTGGTCAAAGAGAGCGGATCTGGTGACTGGGGGGTCTTTAGTCACTTGACTAAGCCCCTCCTAGCCATTAGATCTGGACACTTCAATCCAATGGTTAAAAAGTGGGAAGGGCTGTTTAATTAATGACAGGGGTAGTTTGGGTATTATGGAAAATTACGAAGTATACAAACCGGATTTACAATCAGTACAAACCATACAAACATACGAACAGTACAAACTAGAGTGACAAAACATACAAACAGATTTACAAACATTACAAACGTATAAACTGTACAAACAATACAAACTAGACCGACAAACAATACAAACCATACAAAAAGAAAAAACAACCTGGTTGACTTTCAAGGCTCCATCCCTATATAGAGGGGCTCCTTCCCAAAGTCAACCCGGGTGTTTTTTAGACATAAAAAACATTACGAACATGGTGCACAAAAATGACAAAGTTTACAAACATGGTGCACAAAAATAACAAAGTTTACAAACATTACAAAAAACCCGACAAACATTACAAAATAACAAAGCATACAAACATTACAAAATATGTCAACAAACATAACAAAATTAGCAATGTCACCAGAAAATTCTTTTCCGGCGACGATGTTCGTCGGAAAAATTTTCCGATCAGAAAATTTCCCGACCAAAAACTCAAACTCTCTCTCTCTCTCTCTCTCTCTCTCTCTCTCTCTCTCTCTCTCTCTCTCTCTCTCTCTCTCTCTCTCTCTCTCTCTCTCTCTCTCTCTCTCTCTCTCTCTCTCTCTCTCTCTCTCTCTCTCTCTCTCTCTCTCTCTCTCTCTCTCTCTCTCTCTCTCTCTCTCTCTCTCTCTCTCGTGGGGAAAATCCCCAAGAAAGGAAGAATTCTGGGCGTGGGGAAAATCCCCAAGAAAGGAAGAATTCTGCATCCAGAAAAGGAATAATGGTTTCAACCAAAAAAAAAAAGGAAAGGAAGAATGGGACGCGGGCGACGTCGTCGTCGGAATGCGCAGGGGGAAGGTCGCCGGCAAATTAATACAGACGAGACGCCGGAAAAGAAATAAAAGGCGGCGGGAAATTTTTTCGGGGAACCGCGGAAGTCAGCAGCGGCCAATTGCTCTTTCTTTATTTATTATCTGAATTAATAAATTAAATAATTATGTAATTATTATATTGTCCTTTATTAAATTGGATTAATATGGGCCATTGAATTTTAATGAGGTGCAAGGGTGGAGATTGACTTAGTCATGTGACTAAGGGGCCCCCCTAGTCACCTGATCTTAGCCCTTGGTCAAAATCCTTCCTAAGACCCAGACCTACCTTTACCGCAGCCATTGGGCTTTATCGAGATGGGGAAAAGGGTATCAGACCGTGGGCTTTATTAGGACTGGGGAAAGGGGATCGTGGGCGGCGGGGCTGTGGGCTTCGTCGGCGTTGGGGTCATCCAAGGGGCGGCATGAAGAAAGTCGTCGGCGCGGCGAGTTGCAGATAACTCTCCAGCGACAGCAGGGCCATCGAGCTGTACTTTGACAACCAACGAGGGAGGAGATTGAAGTGAAATTGTCCAAGGAAACAAATGAGGTTTTCCGGGCAACAAGAATGACAAACGCCAAGACAGGGGAAGTAGAGGTTTTCGCGACCAAGGCACATATTTTGTTTAAAGATTTATTTGTTTATTTTCTTTCCATTTAATTATATTAAGAAAATAACCATTTTCACTTGGTCGAAAAATGTCATGTTAGCAAAAAAAGCGTTAGTCTAGTCAACATCTTTATAATTCGGTTAAATTTATGGAACGAATGACTATTTTAGTGTATCTTGAAAAAGTTTACTATTATTGTCACAAAGGTGCAAAGCTATGGCTATTCAAGTGTATTTTGACTACATTGTGTTTTAATCAACTGTAAATATTGAGAGTCGTGGAGATTCGAATATATGGCCACTTGACCAACTAACTCTGATACCATATCAAAGGCCAATATATATTATAATAACTCGAGTTGCTGAGAAAAAGTTAATTATGAATCATATCACTCTCTTACCGTTATACCAATTATTATGAACGGTTGTTCAAAATCTAAATTTCAGCTACTAATTTGCTTGCTACGGAAACGTCAATGGTCAAATTATATCAAAGGGTTATAGGTATAATATGCCCCTCTACTATGACGTTTTATCAAACATGCCCCTCTACTATTTTTTACATCAAACATGCCCTTCAGTTGAAATTTCCATTGAAAAAATCGTCAATCATGGTTGAACCGAGATTTAGACGATCTGACATCGATAAATGGGAGGGAAAATGTTAGTTTTGACCCTTGCTTTATTTCTCTAGGTCTCGTCAAAGTGAAATTATTAGAATTATTTGGTTATACAAAAGAACTAAAAAAACTCTAAAGTGAAATTATTAGGGATATTTTAGATATTTGGGCCGCCCAAACCAAAGTTCGGTCTTGGTTAACGGTTTTTGGATGGAAATTTTAACAAAGGCATGTTTGATAAGTTTTCCAAAGTACAGGGGCATGTTTGATGCAAAAAATTATAGAGGGGCATGTTTGATAAAACGTCATAGTAGAGGGGTATATTATATATATAACCCTATTTCAAAGGATTGAAATACCGTACGGGAAGTCGTTATAGAAAAAGTCACAATAGGATATTTATGCTAAAATCATGATTTAACTATGTTACAACCATTTCGTGCACTTAATACCTCATACTAATTTTGCTCCCGATAAGAGTTTTTTTTCCGAACCATCTATACGATTTTTAATCCTGGATTATTTCTAACTCTCCCAATGATTCATTTACATGCCAATTGCCATGCAACCAAAATATTTTAAAAAGGGAAGGAATTCCAATGCAGCAAAGCTTCACTCTTTGCTTTTCATTCCACCCCACAAAAGCACCAATACCAAGAAGCTGAACAGCATTCATTTCTCCTTTCCCCCATTTCCCCCTTTCCTTTCATTTTGCTTTCCTCTCTTTTCCAGGTACTTCCAACTTTACTATTTCTCTGTGCTCTTCTTCTGCTTCTTAAGCAATTCCATCCTCTCATTCATCCTCAGCCTCCCCCATAGATCTCTCTCTGTGAAAGAAACAATTGAGAAGAAGCAGAGGGCTCTCTCTCTCTCTCTCTCTCTCTCTCTCTCTCTCTCTCTCATGGCGGCCACAGAAGGAAACTCAGAGCCTCCCAAACCAGAGCCTCCTAAAACAGAGTGCCCTCCAGGTACCCAAGAAGTTGTTTCAGAAGAGAAGGAAAATACCCCAAACCCTCCTCCTCCAGAGCCAGCTCTGAAATATAAGGTAGGAAAAGAAGACAAAGAAATCCAACTCTGCTTTCTTTTTTGTCGAATATCAATTTCATGCATTTTCTTCCCCCTGTTTCAGACATGGGTTTTGAAGGTCTCCGTTCACTGCGAAGGATGCAAAAGGAAAGTTAAGAAGATCCTCAACAACATCGACGGTACTCTGTTTATCCCTTTGCTCTGTTCTTCAATACTCTGTTCTACTCATTTGCTCTGTTCTCCACTACTCTGTTCTACTCTTTATGTGCGGGGAAAATCGGTCTTGTAATATTGCAGGGGTTTATACGACGGACGTTGATTTGAGGCAGCAAAAGGTGACAGTGATCGGTAATGTCGAGGGGGAGACTCTGATTAGGAAACTGGTGAAGACCGGGAAGCACGCCGAGCTCTGGCCGGAATCCAACCCCGGCGAACAGAAGAAAAAGAAGAAGAAATCGAAGAAAGAGAAAGAAAAGCAGGAAGACAGCGACGAAGATGGGGGAGAAAACGAGAAACCGGAAGTTCTTCAACTTCAGAATCCTTCTAAAACAGGCGAAAACGGCGCGGTGAGAGTTGCGGTTCAGTTCAAGGAGATGAAGATTGAGACGGTGAAGCAGTGTCCGCCGATGGGTTCAATGGCGGAGCCTCCTGTAGCGGAGAAGAGAGTCGGGTTCGAAGGAGGCGACTGTGGCGCCGCCGAGACGAGCGGCGGCGCTGCAAAGAAGAAAAAGAAGAAGAGAAAAGGTAGCGGCGGCGGAAATGGAAACGGCGGTGGGGAGCAAGGTGAGCAACAGCAGCCCTGCGACGCGCCGCCGCACGGCGGATCTCCTCCTCCTCCCGCTCACGGCGGTGGCGGTGGTCAAACGCAAGTGCATGTGCCGTACCCGGGGACCAATCACCACGCGCCACATCATCACCCGCATCAATTCCCTCCGCCCCACCATTACTACGCGCCACCGGTGTACGCGGTGAGTTACAATACGGCGTACCCCAGTACAAGCTTCGGTGCGTCCTACTACGCCCCTCCGCAATATTCCTACGCGCACGTCCAACAGCCGTCGGATCTGGGCTACTCGTATCGTCCGTCCGATTCGTTCGAGATCTTCAGCGACGAGAATCCCAATGCTTGCTCAGTTATGTAAGAATAGAATGTGGGATGGAGGTTACATGTGGTCATGGTAACTTTTAAGTCTTATATTTTCTTGTGTGGGTTCTTTCTAAGGAGTTTACGACTTGGGCCAATATTTTTGTAATGGGAAGTGGTAAAACTGTAAAATTTGTGGGGTGAAATTAGGGATTTTCTTTTGTTAACTTTGTATTTAAGGTAGATATAATATATTAGCTATAACTATTAAGCAGCCGGGAATTATAGCCACAACTATTGAAATACAAATTATTAGTCAGTCGTTAAGTCTTCGCTAATACTTTTGTTAGTAATGATGACTAAGCTTTTACGATGTTGAGCTGGCTCCCACGTGACAGTCATCATATCACATTTTTTATGATGCTGACATGGCCTTCTCCGTTAAAAATTTGAAAACAGTAACAGGTTGTTAGCCAAATCTTGACCCGCAACAATAATTATGGCTAATAATTTGTATTTCAATAGTTGTGGCTATAATTCCTCGCTGTTTAATAATTATGGCTAATATATTGTATTTACCAACCTGTGTTATATAAGGTTAAATTATTAGTGAACTATTCTTCTGAAGTTTTAGGCATGTTTAATAATGATTTAAGATTTATGAATAACCTATTTCAATAATTCATTTACTGAATCGAAATGGTTTTCGGCATAATGGTTTATACGTATTTGAATTCTTATAAGTTATGATGCTTCAAAAAATTAATAGTTGTCCTATATATGAATTATGATATATATTATTAAGTTTATAAACTGAGTTTTATGGAATAAGTAGTCAACACTAGGCATGTAATTTAAAATGAAATGGGAAAATGAGTGAGACCGTTTACAATATTGAGATGGGACGAGAGTAGGGCTGCAAACGAGTCGAGTCAAGTTTTTGTTTAGCTGGGCTGCAAACGAGTCGAGTCGAGTCGAGTTTTTGTTTAGTTTGAGCTCGGCTCGTTTATAAATTTTTTTAGCTCGAGCTCGGCTTGAACTCGAATTTTGATCATCCAGCCCAAGCTCGAGCTCGACTCGATTAAAAATAATCCAGCTCGAGTTCGGTAAATGCTCATTATCACAGCTTGTCAAACTAAGTATAAGCTCGGCTCAAGATAATCTCGATTTGAAACCATTCATGCTGAAAAATGTGTACAAATAAGAACATTAGAAACTAAAAATAACATTTAACTTCCATACACATCCTTATTAACAAGATAATTTTCATGTTCATAAGAGTAATTAATCCTTCTACCAGCTTTAAACAAGCAAGCTCGCGAGCTTAGCTCAACAAGCCACCGAGTCAAGCTAGCTCACGAGCTTATCAAGCCGAGCAGGGCCTAGCTCAAGCTTGGCTTGTTTATTGAGCCGGCTTGTTAAACAACGAGTCGAATATCGAACGAGTTTTTTCCGATTCGAACACCGATTTGCTCGCGAGTGGCTTGGCTCATTTCCCGCTATAAATTAGAGAATTGAGAAGGCAAATTTTGGGGAAGGCAAATGTAACAAATCTATATGCTATTGTCGTTACGCAAAACATGCAAACAAAGGAATTGCAACATCTTCGAGGAGTAGCTTTTTGGAAAGCATGAATGAATATTCAAACTTTCCATGTCGCTCTTTTTCAATTACCAAAAGCACTTTGCTTCAAATTGGACAAGCTAAGCTGAGATTTGAGTCGGTTATTTCAATCAGTAAAGGTTGATCGATTTGATTAGTATTTTTAGGTGCAAAGGGAAGATGGATGGCAATTGAACTTGCACGTATTCACTACAGCCCAATCTGATCGAAGTTGGTAAAATTCGACATGACGAGTTTGGAATTGAGTGCAGATAAAACGTACTTAGGAAATTGGTGAGTTGAGTTAGATGCGGGTTTGGCTAGAACCTGACTTGTTTTTTCAGTCGACTCACACTGGAAAAGAAAGAATGATTTCATTTGCATCTAACGCCAGCATTATGGGTAATTTACGGATGTTATTAATTTTTATGGCAATCTAGGGATTCCACAAGCTATAGGGTTGACCATTCCAGGTATAGGGTTCGACACCCCTTCACCCTAAAATTTTGTAAAGAACCTGTATTTTTTTCCAAAAAATTTTAATACGAGATTGTACGACACCACTTTAATAATTATAGATAATAATCCTTCATTAGGCGAAACCACTCTTCAACAATCTTGGGACTGCCACTGATTCCAGGATGTCGAAGGCCAACAACGAATTGAATGCATCGGTAAGAATCCAACACGACCAAATCTAACGTACAATCTTGACAAGGATGAATAACATCGTCAAGGTTGAGATTGAGGCAACTAGGTTACCATGTAAAGAGAGGGGGATCAAGAGGGCCACGACACCAAACAGACGATAGAGAAGGAGGAACAAAATTATAGACATATGAGAATTCTTGAACTTGATGAACAAACTATAAAGTGATAATAGTAAGGTATGCTCGATAACTACTCTATTGCAATTGGAACCAATTAGGGGTGGCAATGGGGCGGATTGGGGACGAGTAGCTAGCTCACGTTACCATCCGTCAAGACTGACGGATTTTCCCGTTCCCTTCCCATTAGGCTTAACGGGTGGAATATGGTTACCGTCCCCAGCCGAATATGGGTAAACCATGGATCACCACGGATCCTGATGACAAAAAAAAAGAGACAACCTGAAAATGACTAAATTCCTGAAATTCAAAGCACCTTGCTGTTCAAGGCACAAAAATCCAAAACACAAAAGGAAGATATGGGGCTATAACCCATATCCCACCACCCAGCACCCAGATCTTCATAGTTCAAATAAAAGTGATAGGTTGCATAAAGCAAACAAGCTGCTACAACCAATTTCCCACCACTCAAAACCCATATAACATGTTCCTCGCTACATCTACTAACTAGTGTCCAGGTTCAAAAAGAAGAGAATGAAAAACAAAGGCAATCAACCCCAATAATATCATCCATAAATCAAACTAAAACCTATACTAACACACGTGTTCCTTTGATCTTTTCCTCCAAAAGCAAGCAACAGTATGTTGGAAACCAACTCAACATTAGCATTCATCCATCAAAAGCGATCACTACAAGCAACAAAATAGTAAACACAGTTATAGAATTGAAACACATTTTAAATTGAACAAGTAAAATGGGCAGAAGTTTGGCTCTATACCTTGAACCTTTCAACAAATCATTCATCTAGGGATATGAGATGCTTCTTTATCACAAGTCCCCCTCGATCTACAATAATAATAAAATACAGTTAGAGAATTGAAACTAAGGACTAATCTTAATTGAACTAATTACACAGAAGACAAAATTGAGAACCAACTAACTTACCAACTTCGTCTTGATCTTCAGTATTGGAATCTGCAATTGCTAGAGCTGAGAACACCCCTTTCATTGCCTCGACATCAGCCTTTGATGATTCTGCAGATGAAAAAAAAAAGACAATTAGCATTCCAATTAACATTAAGAAATTCATAAGGGACTAAGAATTTCCTCCATAATCCAACTCCCGGTACACATCATTGCCTCTACTATATCATAGTGCAATCTACTTCGATGAGGGTCTATTAACCTCCTACCAGAGCTAAAAGTAGATTCAGAAGCCACTGATGTGATTGGTGTGACCAAGAAATCCCTTGCAATTGCTTGCAAAGGTGGGTACTTAAGGCCATTTAGTTTCCACCACATAAATATATCAAAGTTAGGAGACTTATTAGGAATAAGTTTCTCAAGAAGATAGTGATCTAGCTCAGTATGGATCATAGTTGTTTTGCTCTTTTTTCTTCGACTCACAAAGAGATTAAAATCATGATCATCATTTCCAGGACCAGAAGAACTACCATAAGCAATTGAAGAACCAGAATTGTTCTTCTCAGACTTGGTTTGGGAATCAAGCACCAAACGACAGATACATTGCTTAATCTTATCAGCAACAAAGTCAGTATTGGTACTGCCAAACTTAGCAGCATAATACTCAATCACATGCAGCTTGAATCTAGGATCAAGAACCACTGACACAACCAGAACCAAGTGTATATCATCCCAGTACTTTCAGCAATAGCAGAGATAAGAGAATCGATATCAGCACACCATTCCAGCAATTTCAGTCTTAGATCACAAACCTTGGGGAAAAACAAATTAGCAGTGTGATACTCACTGCCAGAAAACATCTTAGTAATCTCACTGAAAATTTCCAGCTTATCAACGACAATGGCAGCAAAATCCCAATGCATACTAGTAGGGACAATGGTGTATTGACTATCCCACTACCCCAAACAAGAGAAAACCTCTCTATACACAATAGCAACAGATAACATATCATAGGTGGAATTCCACCTTGTTGGACAATCAAGTACACAATACTCTCTCTAACCAATTCGATGTCATCCTTGATGACCTCCCATCTTTCACAATAAGATTCAAAACATGAGCAGAACAACTTATTTGAACCAGTATACCATCCAACAACAAATCATCCATAGTAAGTTTTGTTTTCATAGGGGTAATCATGGCATCATTGGTGTTACACTTATCCAAGATAATCGAGGAGAACTTCCTATCAAGATTCCAACCAAGCAGACACTTGAACGACCTATCTCCTAACCTCTCACTAGTATGAGGGGCAGAGACATAGACAAAGCTCAACATCATGTTTTAAGTTTCCAGAATTCTCAACATATGTTTTTAAGTTTCTAAGAATTGTCAATAAAATGCCCAGTCACTGCCATATACCCCCTCTATTGGTTGGTTGCAGTCCACATATCAGGTGTGACTGCAACTTTACCAATATTACCATCCTGAACCTTCTGAAACTTTTCCATTTCAGCACCATATAACCCCAGTATATCCCTCTTCACTGTATTTCTACAAGGGACAATGAACTGGGGCTGCAAAGAACAACAGAAACGTTTAAATTCCAAGTGTTCAACAATGTTCAGGGGATATTCATGCATCATAATAAATAACACAATTCCTTCCTAGACACATCAGAATTGAATTGAGTAGCAGATAGGAGGGGTTTCCTAGTTGGTTTATAATCAGGACCAAGAACTCTCTGCCTACCATCATGTATATTTCTTTGGGTGTAAGTTTTATAATGGTTCCTTAGGTGGGAGGTTCCATTACTAGTATCACCACCTAATCGTTTTCGACAGTATCTACACTTAGCTTTAATCTCCCCATTAAACTTCACTCGCACAAAATATGGCAAGACATCAGAAGTCAATTTACGATCTTTCTCAAGAATTATTTCAACATTTTCATTTTCATTTGTCGAGGCATCATTACCAGA